AAAACAGATTTTCGTTAAACAAAAATGTAATAAAATGTACATGGCCGTCACCATAGGGATTTACCAATTTTTAAGACCTGCCAGGGCCTACATAGTTTGAGAATTTCATGAGTCACCATACTCTCCCTGGACTCAAAAGTACAACACACTAATTTATCCTGGTGACACCCATGTAGTGATTGTAGTGTTTAATTTAGCGATTCCGCTGTATCAAAATCTTAAAATGCATAGTTGACATTATTAACAATGCAAAAGGTTTTGTCGTATTCCACAATGCTCTCAAGCACATGAGAGGCAGTCTAGTCAGAAATAACTTTTATACCTCTCCAGAGATTAGAAGTTACAGACCCAAGAAAAGTTAATAAGTGTAATTTATGTGTTTGCGTGTGTGTGTCTGTGCACATGTGTGCGTGTCACCGAAAAAAAATGGAAACTCTAAAAGAAACATTCACACATAATTTAGCACACACACGGGTGCGTGTACCTATATGTATATACATGTTTGTGTATATGTATACATAAATGGACACACATGCACACACACACATAAATACACAGACACACACCCACACACACGAGCGCACGCGAGCAATAATTAGTGAACAAAGCTCTTCTTTAACTACATAAATAGAAACAATATATGTAGAGGTCAAATGAGTGCCATCAAAGAATGAAATATAAAACTTACTAAAAGTATTAGACAAAACTGGAGCAGATGGACCAGTTATTTCTTGCTGGGTTCTGAGAGAATGTGCCGAAGAACTATGCACTCCGTTATTATTAATATTCCAAAATTCAGTGACGCAAAGAAAATTACCAAAAGACTGGAAACTCACCAATGTTACACCTTTATATAAGAGCGGCGACAAACAAAACACTCTAACATATAAACGAGTTTCGTTACTAACGTCGTATGTAAGCTGTTAGACAGGATAATTAGGAAACAGTGGGTTGAAGTACTTGTAAAACACGATATATCAAATAAACAATTTGGTCATAGGGAAAGGTCATGTGTCTCTAATCTCCTCGGTTTCTGACAGAGTTTCTGAAATATTAAGACACGGTTGGGTGGATTGTGTATAGTTAGACTTTAAAAGGGCAGGTGTCTCATTGGCGCCGATTATGTTTACTATTATCATCAATGATTTAGGATCAAACATAAGCCCAGGTAGTTATCCGAATATGTTCGCAGACGACGAGAAATAAAAAAAGAAGATAATAGACAATGTCTCATGCCAGTGTCTCCAAATTGACTTCAAGAAGAGTTGCACTTGGAAAATGGAATTCATCACCAATAAATGTCAAGTAGTCAGGTTCGGAGAAAGTAAAAACTGCCCACTATACTAATACAAATTAGAAGTTGCATTAACACACTTGATAGGGAAAAAGACCTTGGTATAATCGTAAATAACCTAAACCCAAATTATCATATCAATGAAAAGGCCCATAATATGCTAGGGCTGATTGCAAACATGAAGGGGCCTTTCGTGAATGTGGACGAAGACAAGGTTAAAGATCATTACAGCCATCTTAAGACCTAGTCTAGAGTATGGTGGTCTAAACTACGCCCCCTCCCCCCTCAAAAAAAAAGAAAAAAAAAAGATTGCTTTTTGTTGTCGTGGCGGTGCTTCGGAGACGGGGATTGAGTCCCATTAAAGATCACCTGTGCCTTGGACCTCAGCCCTCGCATCAACTAATTTTGCATAGTCTTTTCTTCCCCTATCCTCTTCCTTCTCTTATTTACCCCATTCTGTCCACTTATCCTAATCGTTAACTTATTTTTTACCCCTTTCGCCTCAATACTTTATCATAGTGCTATATGACCTTTGATGCCTAACACACTTATCAACTATGCTACCTACTCTGAGATATTAGTTACGAAGACAGACTACAGAAAATAAGATTTATTAATTTGAAAGACAAGTAAAAGTGGTAACGCAATTATGATGTTCAACTACATTACAGAAAAAAGTGAAATTAAACAGATAACTATATATTATTGAACAAATGAAAGACAACAGGACACAGTAAAAAATTGAAAGTAAAATGAACCGAGAAAGATAATAATAAAAAAAAAGGTTGCCCAAACAAAGCTATTGAAACATGGAACAATCGCCACAAAAAGTGCATCAGCTTAAAAATATAGCAAACGAGACCATTTGAGCTTAGTTCTTCTCCTGTGTTGAAACAATTAGGTAAGAACATCAATATCATACATTCTCCTTCTTCTTTTTATAGGGTTTTGGAGAATATTCTATTATACATTCAGTCACCCTTCCCCGAGAAGATTGTGCAAGGCGACGCTCACGTGTTCAATGTTTTGGTAAACGTTTGAAAGAGGAGAGGAAGCGGCGAGCAAGAGGCAACGTTCAGTACCCTTCAACAAAAAGTCTAAAACCCTTTAAAAGAAGAAAGAAGACGAAGAATACTCCTGTACCAAATATTTGCTTTGCTTGCCGTGAACCATGTCAAATGCACTGGAGAGTTATGTGAACCGTATCCTTTTTAAGAATTAAGGTTGTGACCCTTAAAGCGAAGGCCACACTAGTCTATTCTGTGACAGAGTAAATACGGTCTCACGAAAGGGGATATGTATGAGTATTTACTTTGGATAGCACTTGTAAGTTCTGCATTGCCGGGTTATGAAAAATATGTAGTGTGTATGATTTGCTTTTTGTAGTTTCACTTAAAAGGTAGATCAGCAAATATAAGGGTAATTAGGTGAATAGATAATGTTAGCATCCTGTCAAATATGTAGGATAGGTTTTATAATATCCATCTGAACATTATTTTTATGTTAACTCAAAGCAGTCAGGTTGTGTGAAACAGAGAATTAAAGAGTTGTACATAGTACACAGTAAGTTACATGGGATCGAAAGACTGGTGAACTGATATATTTTTCTTTATTATATGATTGATAGGTCAATATGTAGCATAAGGTAGTGGCGGAGTTGGGTAATAAAACCTACATGAAATGATAGACCAATACAAACCAAGACAAAGTACTTCTATGGCAATATGTATGCAAATGCTTCCCAAGGGTGCTATACGGAAAAGAAAAGGGAAGAAGATGGGCTACTTTCGAAACAATTTTGATATTTTTCTGCATGAAATCCACTGCTTTCAATGATTCTAGGCATTGTCCCTTGTGCAAATGGGTGACCTAACCCAACACCCAACCTAACCTAACACCGTGGTATATATTCCCTAGACAGGGGGCTCTGTCCCCTGGACCCCTGGGGTAATATATATTTACACCTAGCACCCTTGGGAAGCATTTGCACACATATTGCCATAGAAGAACTTTGTCTTGGTTTGTATTGTTCTATCATTTCATGTAGGTTTTATTACCCAACTCTGCCACTACCTTATACTACATATTGTCCGATTTTTTAATTGATTATAAAATGCCTGAGAAATCAAACAGAATAGGCATGATTGTGTTGATGGGACAAAGGTCTTGTTTTGGTTTTATTTCTGTATATGGTAATTCTTTACAGTACATATGCACTCACCAGAGACCAAGTCCCCAATTCCACATCGCGAAATTCATTTAACAAGCTAAGTTCCTGTGAATGGGAGTGTCCTTTAGGGTTGATGGGGGCTCTGCCCCTCCAACACCCCCAAATGAACATTGTCTTCACCTCGGTATATGGCAAGATAAAACTGGAACTCAGGGGCACTGACTGGAGTTTGGCTGTGAGTCGATTTTTCAGTGATCTTTTTCCTTTATTTGTGGTATTACTGTTTGTGTCAGTGGAATATTTCTTGTATCGAGAACTTTAACTTTTCATCATTTACAAGAATATGAACCTCAAATTGCCCTGGCTTAGTGCCCATACTTTATTGATTAACTGTATTAAACTGTATATGGAATTGATGAAGGCTAATCTTGAGGAAATGGGATTTTAGGAAACAAATATGAAATGCTACTAAGAGAGAATAACTAGACATAGACTACAAAATCAGATATAAACTGTGGGAAGACAGCTATGTCACAATTAAAATCTAGCCTCTCCTCACCTTGCAGTGGAAAACTTGGTAATATTTTAGTTTCAAACAGCCATCCAACCTTGCATTTATTATTCCCTGTTATTAATTAACATTGTAATATGCATGAATTGCATTATTTTCCATTGCATATTATATAAGTAATGGTAACTTTATGAAATGAATGCATCCCTCTGAGATAAAGTCCTTATTACTCCAGCCACACATGGAGAACCACAAACATTGCTGTATGAGCCAAAAAACTTACTACTCCTGGGGCTTGACCCCCCCTTCCGATCACCTCTATTTTTTCTAACATTATTCTTTGCCTGCACAGATTATTTCACTTATCAGTTAGTGTTGGTGTTCCCTTCTTTTATGATAGTGTCATTACATTTCCCTGTAAATATATACTAAAGTATTACTCTTTACATAACTTTCTTATCAATATGTAAAGGAAGTACCACTGATGAAGTGTCTCATTTTCTGCCATTTTCTATCATTTTATCCATTATGGGTAAAGTTTACCTTGTACCATATGGCTGTGTGATACTGAAACTATAAAGAAGACTATCCTGTAACCCTGCATAAACTGTCTGCTCATGTATCATGAAATCTTGACCAGTAATTATCACTTTTATTACTTTTTATTATTTTCTCTTCTTTAATTTTTGTCACAGTTCACCAAGATACTTGTTTATTGAATGCACATTTTATATATGTGCTGAATGTTGTATACTATTTTGTAGATTTTTGTTCTTAAATTAGGAATACTTTTTACATACATATACATATACAACCATTTAGCAACAAATTTGACAGTTTTGTTATCATACTACTCATTGCACCTTTCAAACATGAAGTTTGTTTACAGTGCTACTTGTGTCTCCAAATTCTTTAACAATTTTAACAACCAATGCTGCCGGGTGGTTTCACAACAGCGTGTGTGGCATGACTGTACATACCCCCAGAAAATGGGACCGGCATACCATGGCATGTATGCACATGCC